CTACTATGTATATTTAGTAAATTCGCTACATTTAAAGTTCGGTGGTTTAGCCGCAGATAAAATAAATAAAAATCATTTGTGAATTTAAACCGAAGAATTTATTAGCCTTGGTTAAGGTAGTAACTACTCCTGGAGTTATCGGATTGCGATCCGCTACACTCGTATTGGTTCTTGTAAGGAATGAAAGGTCGATAACCTAGATTACGCTTCCTCTAAGCGCAACACTACAGCAGCCCCGCTGCATTTGTGCTGCCTGCTATCATTAACACTGCTTAGAAGACCATCCTGTAAAGCATGAACGCCTTGAAAATGATCGCAAATGATTTGTCCACCAAGATCATAGCACGACCTTCAATTGCCAGATTTTCCTGAGACTTGTACTTGAGCTCGAAAGCTGTGTCATCAAATGATACGACCGCCTTCGCAGACCACATTTGCTCTCGGCAGCAGCAGAGATTTTTGTACGCTCTTGGCCACTCGTCCAAGACACAAGCTCGATTAAACGATAGTAAAGATCATTCGTCACATGGAAAACAAACTTCCGTACACTTACGCATCCGAAAATGCTCTGCAATGTTGCAGACGACACAATTGTCCATGTGGCACATGTAAACCTGGAGTTGCAGCTTGATGTTAGCCTGTATCGGCCAAAATTCGTTGTGAAACGCTTGGTCTTCTTGCAGAATAGTCTCAAATGCTGAAAATTGTCAAGGATCATGCCTAGGTCACGTTTGACACGTTCTAGTCGAGAAGAAAAATTCGATCGGCAATCCACTCACATTGCATCGCGTGCAGAGATGTATCGTTGACTTTTGACGAGTCTATAGAGACGTGAGAAGACGTCGTTGATTTTTCCCAGCTTTGGAGAGGCGCGGCTCAGCACAAGTAATCGCCCCAGCTTCTTCACGATCACGCTGCGTGTTGATTCTCGAGGCATGCTTCTCTGATGATTTGGAACGAGGAATCCTTTCGAGTAATTGATGGACAGACACACGTAACAGCCAGTGGTCAGCACCAGGCGTCTTGATTCTCATTTCTAGCGTTTCAAATAAGCATCAGATGCTGTTTCACTGAGAGCACTATTATTGACTTTCCACGGATAAACTTCAGCATAACTGATCTGTTTAGAAAGCATATGACCTTTATCAGCTCCGGAAAAGCTTGTGCAAGCTTCTATTTTTGCAAAGCCTCAAAGAAAGGTGGATGCTAGTCACATAAAAATTCGTGAGCACCTCAAACAGGCGTTGGCTACACTGTGATAGTTCACAACAAGACAGCAGGGCACTTAAGATTTATAAATAAACATATTGCAATATCAAAACGCAGATTAACTTTCTTACCATGTTAAACTGCTTTATCCTACACAGTTTTTTATACTGTGAAGTGCTGATGTTCAACATTAAGAATCAGCAATTTCATTGCCATTAGCACGTTTCTCATCAAGCTAAAACAGATACGACAAAAAAACGATCAACTGCTTCAATTTTTCAATGGCAAAAAATATTTATCATACATCCTAGCACAGCAGCAAAACCATGAGCGCGACTTTATAAGTGCGATCGTGCATTGACCTCTCCCCTCGCGATCAAGTAATCCATGTCACACTAACAAATTCACATCTATGCCTTCATCCGGATACTTGTGTATTTGACGTCAAATTGCAGGATAATTGAGCCAGATAACCAATCATTTCGGATAAATTCTTGCTATCGAATCTGATCGAGCCATATGGAATACGCGAAATTTATGGCATCGGGCACATGATAGGATTAATATGAAAAATGCATAACTTCGTCTGGTGCAAAATCGAAAGAGAATGATTTGAAATAGCAGCAGAGGCATGTTAGAAAAAAATGTTGTAGCGTTTTACGAGCCGGTGTGGAATAACGAGTCGGATTGCAAATCTACTGATTCCTGATGAAAGCACCTGGAATCAGCCTTGTAGTGTGTTAGAGCAAGACGAGAACCAAATGATTCAGAAG